CCTGTCCTTAACCGCCAAGCCTCCGCTTTTTTTCTTTCCTTCTCTTTTTTTCTTCAATCAAAACATTTTATGTTTTTTGTCAATCAAAACATTCTTATATTCCAAAGACGTAACTCAGGACATACTCACATTCGGACTTTCCTAAATGTATCTGACTGCAATTACGGCCGGACATGGATGAATCTGACTGTAATTACGGCCAGACATGGATGAATCTGACTGCAATCACGTCCAGAGCTTCTACGAAAAAGTCCCTGGTGTGAGTATGCCCTCAATGAGGCCGGGGACCTCCCAATTCAACCCAGAAGTCTGGGAGCATTACCCAGTTTCACTTATGGTTAACCAAGTTTCATCATCCTCTCAATGCACTTAGTCCTATAGGCCATCCTATAGGCCGTGGCCCTAATCTAAAGAATCTAGTGTTCCCCTAATCAAAGCCTCTATATTTCCGTCATACTCCTGACTGGGAAAGAAAAGGAAGAACACCAATGAACGTACACTTGTTTCTCAGCACGATACATTGGACATATAGCTTAAACAAATAGAGTCGTGTTCTCTGACCTCAGCACGCGCACATTCCTCACAGCATTTATTGAGCAGTGTTCCAGGACACCCATTTATATACTGTTGAGGGTTCAGCCTCCTGACGAGTCAGTCGGTGAAACTCCGACGAAACAGTTTGTCACAGCCCCTCGTTTGGTGTCCTCTTCTCCCTCCCCCTCTGCCTACGGTTTACCGTAGGCAGCTCTGTTTGACGATATATCCCTCTCCGCCTACGGTAGGCAGAGAGGGAGAAGAGGACAACAAACGAGGGGCTGTGCCAAACTGTTTCGTTCGGATATCGTATTTATACATATAGATATTGTATATATAAATATCGTATATAAATCGTATATAAATCGTATATGTATTGTAATATATTGTCACACTGTAAATCAGAGTATCGTCACATCAATATCAGAGCGCAAAGGCGAAAACAACAGAAGAAAACAAGAAAAAATAATTCGTTTTTTTATCTTCTTTCTTACAACTCCCCCTGGCTGTTCCCTTCCTCTTTTCTTTGCCTCTTTGCCTTCTGGCTGTGTGCAAGTGGGTCGATATGACACACGGGGGTGGGTGCAGCCGCCGCTCAACCAACATCCACGTGGGCGGCCTTGTACGCAAGAGGTTCTGAACAGGGGGAGTTGTAAGGAAGAAGATAAAAAATGAATTGATATATATATTTTTTTTCCTTTTCGCTTTTGCGCTCTGATATTTATGTGATGATACATACCCATTTATATTTTAGTAAATCGTAAATCGTTTCTATACCCATTTATATTTTAGTAAATCGTTTCTATTTTTTAAACACCTGGGGTAGCAGTGGCCCCCACTCCACTACACTCCAAATGTGCAAATTGAGATTGAATCTTGCAGTAGAGCCCGGACATATACACCGCCATATTTTCTGTCTTCTGTGCGTGTGGAGAGTTGTGGAGCGAGGCCCAAGATTCATCATTCGAAGTAGAAGAGATCAGTAGTATACTTTTCTGGGAGCATTGCGGTATCAGTAGTATACTTTTCTGGGAGCATTGCGGTACCTAACTAACATTTATTTCAGCAAAGCGCATAGGCCAGGGCTTCTCTCTCCACCGCTTACGCTCGCGCGCGCGCACCTAAGGTAAGGATCTCCTCGGAGACGCGTACGTGGCCCCCCCCCCCCCCCGCCCGCCGGCCGGCCGCCCCGCCCCGCCTCCGACAACAAAAAAAAAGAAAGTAATTGGATAGCATCACAGCTCCTTTCCTTCCTTTTCGGAGAGTAACCACCAAAGCTATCCAACTACTTATTCTCCTTCTTTTTTTCCAACAACAACAACAACAACAACAACAAAAATAAAAAAGAACAGAAGCTATGCTTGCAGGGGGCGCCTACATATACAGTATATATAGCCTTAGGACTAGTGGTAGTGGCAGCACTGGTAGGTAGGTAACGAAAGGAGAATGTGGGAGAAGAATACAGCTTAGTTTGAAAAATGCAAAAAAAGGACAGTTGAAAACCTTCAGCTCGCGCTGGAAATGTCTCCATCTAAAACGGAAAAAAAAGGCTACGCTAGAAAACGGAGAACGAAAAAAAAGAGAAGCCATCAGACAGCGTGGAGTTTTCTCCTTCGCTGTTCACCGTTCGCTCTTCTTCTTCTTTTTTTTTCTTTTTACTTTTTTTTTTTTATGCGTGTCATCCTTGCGCAGAGGCCATGCTAATCTTCACTGTATCGTTCCAATTTTAACGGATGTCCCGAAGGACTTCGCTCTTCTTCTACGTTCTCCTTCTTTTTTTTTTTTGTCTTTTTTTTTTGTTCTCCTTCCTCTTTTTCTTCTTGGCTCAGGGTGGAAAGATAGGAGGATACCAGAATAAGAAGAAGAAGAAGGAGATTAAAAAAAAAAAAGAACGCCCTTGATAAGTCCTGGTGCGCAGCCCACGCGTTTCGCAGCGTCGACGAATGTGCGTGTCTTCAGTACGATGGTTATGTCTCAGCACTTTTTATTTCGTGGGGGCACTGGGGGGACAACTATATCTTCGGGTCAAATTGTGAGGTCCCCGGCCTCTTACCCAAAAAAAAAAAAAAAAAAAAAAAAAAAAAAAAAACTTCACAGTCTACCCCCGGATATGCTGGGAGCACTACCAAATTTCGCTCAACAGGGGTTAGCACTATCCAATTTCGCTTAACAGGGGTTAGCACCACCACCAAATTCCGCTTAATAGGGGTTACAATTAACCCCTATAAATGGTTGGAGGGGTGCAATATTCAGGTAAGCACAAACAGGCTGACAGCCTAGCTCACTTGGTACACCCATGAACTGTTGAAAAATACAGACCTAAGTTCGAATCCAGATGGGACCAAATGGACAGGAAAACACAATTCTGAATTTATCCATATGTTAAAAAAAAAAAAAAAAGGAATTTATCCATATGGAACCAAATGGACAGGAAAACACAATTTTAGAATTACTTGAAAAGCCGTCAGCTCAGCTCAATGATGACAGCTCGAGGCCGTCGCCCTCAGCTGGCTACCTACACCCTAGGGAATATCGATGGGAAGAAGGGAAACCCATCAGCCTCATCATAAATCATCATAGGTATGTACTGTACCCAAGGATTTGGGCCTCGCTCCACTACTCTCCACATGCACAAAAGACGAAAAATATGGCGTTGTATAGTTCCATGTTCTCGCGGTAGATTCATTCTCATTTTGCACATTTTGAGACTAGTGCAGCGACGTCCTTTATGAATGATACACGTTTTCCCCCGAGCACAACGCACCCTCATTTCGACTGTTGTGGATGAACAGAGCACGCGTTCAAGTCCTTACGGATATTACCGTCTTCCCCCGAACACAACGCACTCTCATTTTGACTGCATCGGGCCGGAAACATACCTTGTATACGTTCATTTTCGGGGCGCGTTATGTTCGCGAGGAGGATGGTATTAGTATATCATACAGGGGCCACCACCACACGTCGCAGAAAAGGGGGGGGAGGGGGGGGGGGAGGGGAAGGGAAGGGGAAAAGAAAAAGAAAAAGAAAAAGAGAAAGAAAAAGAAAAAGAAAAAGAAAAAGTGAAATCATAGACCTGAGTAAATCCACACATGCAAAGTCCTCCCTATGGGTAATTAACGGATTCTATTGGTAAGTCATATTGCTGTTTAACTACTACAAATTTATAATTCATATTTGTTAATTACCTAAAAATAACGCGTTACAGGACGCGTATGAACGAAGGGTGAATTCCAGTAAATATTCGCTCGACTTGGGGTGCTCGCACGTTTTCCCATTAGCTGACCCTACCTAGGCTGCGATGAAATTGTTTTTTTTTTTTTTTTTTTTTTTTTTTTTTTTTTTTTCCCTCTTCTCAATCTGGATTCGAACTTAGGTCTGTATTTCAACAGTTCATGGGTTTACCAACTGAGCTAGCTATGCCCATTGGTGATGAGATTTGTTTTTTTGGAAGCATTCACTCGCGCTGATCTGCAGCTCGGCGGCCTACCATCTATCTATCCCCGAATAAAAGGGGTGGTAAAAATAAAGGCTGTATTTTTTTGGGCCAACTGTCAGTCCATATACAGCTATAACGGCCGTGCGTTCTATTCGGGGGGCAAGACGCGGGGTGATTCATTTCTCTTGCCAAGCCTAATGGCAGCGGAATCGGCTCTCGATGAAGTACCACACCAGCAGCAACGTGCGCAGATTGATTTTTTTTTAATTTTGTTTTCCTTGCGTGCGTGTATGTGTATTATTTTTATTGTATTGCTAACTCGGTTTTTTTTTTTTTTTTCCCCCTACCTTCCGTTTTGTGCCTGCTCTTCGATACGAACGACACCCTGCTTCGTCCTCTATTGAATGCCAAACTCCACTGGGAGCAGACGCGTAAGAATACTGCCAATTCTGAATTACCAAGGGCCGGTCAATTCAAATGATGAGATCTCACGGCCGTAGCCCATGTTATTAAAAAAAAAAAAAAAAAAAAAAAAAGCGCTCTCGTTTTTCCTCAGTTCTTCTCTCTCCCGCACAAAAAATGATGATCTCAAATGCTCTATCAAATTTATTGTTGTCCGTCCGATTCACAACAGTGATAATGCCTTCAATCAATCAACAAATCGATGGATCAATCAATCAATCAATCAATCAATCAATCAATCAATCAATCAAACAATCGATCAATTAATCAATCGATCGATTAATCAACTGATTGACTGATCGATCCAGCAAATTAATTGATGAGCCGATTAATCAACCAAACGACTAATCGATCAGCAAATTCATTGATGAATCGATCTAATCAATGATCCATCAACATGCGCCCTTCGACGACAACAAAATTGGAATGGAAGAGCGGCTCCAAAAAGTAGAGCACATCCACGACGTCACAAGAAACCAGAAGAAAAGCATTCACATGCATGGAGAGAAATTAAAAGAGAAAAAAAAAAAAAAAGAGGAGAAGACAGAAGAAGAAAGAGCAACCGTACCTGAAGAGCGTGTGTGGGGAGAAAGGCTCCGATAGAGAGTGAGTGACACCAGCCCTTCGTAACCCTCGGTACGAGCTCAGCGACGCCGATGAAGGTTTCGAACGCTTTACCAGGTGTCCATTCGCAGCAGCAGCGGCGGCAGCAGGCGAGGCCACACATCTCGAGAAAGAGCACCATCGGGAAGTCGACTTTGTCTGTGCCCATGCAGACACAGACACCACCTCTCGGCTCGAGATTTCCCCACCCTCTGCTCTTGACAGAGCACCTCCTACACCAGCAGACCTCGCAATGTCCGTTGCTAAACCCACAGCAGTCGCCATCTTCTCTCTCTCTCTCTCTCTCTCTCTCTCTCTCTCTCTCTCTCTNCCCTCGTGCAAAGCCCGTACTGGCGCTCTCTCTCTCTCTCTCTCTCTTCCCCACGCAAAGGCCTGTATTGATGCGTAATCAGTGCCTGATCACCGGATTTTTCGTGTTTATATGTATTAACTTAAATAATGCAGGTGCTGCAAAGCTGCCGGGAGAGCGGTAATTAGTTTGAGGAGCCCGCCAGTGGAGTTGCGTTCGGGGAGTTCACGAATTCTCCGCTTCGGCGATCTGATCTGACCGTGCGTATCCGCGTGCGGAGGAAGCAATCCAGCGGAGTTGGCCGGGGAGATCGCGCGCCGCGCCTGCGCCGTCTCCGCACGCGCGTCGCTCTGATGATGCCGAAAATACTTCACTTCGGCGGCGGTGTGTCGAACCGCGGCTCTCACCGAACAGTCACGACGATCCTCTACAGTGTGTCGCTGGTCCTAGCCGAATCACCCACCGAATGTGAACAAGAAAGACAAAAATATGGCGGGCGTGTGTTTCCACGTTATAGCCGAAGATACATTCCGATTTTTCTCATTTGCTGAGTGGGTGCAGCGAGGCCATTGGAATCTCTGTTCAGTTCTTCCTTTTTATTTTGATTACACGTGAACATTCAACCCGCCGGTGGCCGACCGAATGCCATACATCGATCTGTTGACCGGCAGATCGTGAGTTCAAGCCCCGAATTTAGGGTCGCGTTCGGCGGCTGGGCAGGTAATGGCCCCCTTCCTGCCCGCGGTGCTGCCTTCGGTACTTCGTGGTGATGGCCAGCCCCGCAGGGGAGGGCAGGTCCCTCTAGCCGTAAGGATGGACCAAGTTCAAGCTCGTGTGGCCGCTGGGCTGGTAATGGCCTCCGTCCTGCCCGAGACGCTACCTTCGGTACTTCGTGGTGATGGACAGCCCTGCAGGGGAGGGGGAACCCAGTTCTCAGCAGAAGTTGGGTTAGGGGGGAACTAATCCCTTAACACTGTTAGCAGTAGATATCTGGCGCCTAATACAGGGCGAAGAGGTTTTTCCCTTTCTTTCTCAACAATCTGCCCAGTCAATCCTCTGGGAACCAGAGCAATCAATGCTGGCAGAATTTTTTCTCAGTTACTTTTCAGACATTTTCCTGAATACTTCTGTACAAGAGACACTGGACCCGTTTTCCAGCAGGTGATGCTGTTTCCCGTACTACTATAATGACAATAAGAAAGGCCTGAAAAGCACGGATGTGGCTGCTATGGGGTTCCTGTAATACTACAATGACAATAAGAAAGGCCTGAAAAGCACGGATGTGGCTGCTATGGGGTTCCTGTAATACTACAGTTCGCAGCCAAAGGCTGCATCTTACCCCGTTGCACTTTGTCATGTAGCAGGGCGTCCTTTTCTGGAAATGTAGACGACTCCTAACGGGGTTTATGGGGTGTCTATAAGGTGCACGGTCGGGGGAAGGGCAGAGACCGGTAGCAGAAACGGTCGGCGCAGAGGTTGGAGCGCGGGCGACCAACGGCAGGTTGCACAGGTTGTTCTTTGGCCGTGGCGAGCGTCACCCGGCCTTTCCTTTTTTGGGGTGGGCGGTTTTTTTTTTTTGGGGGGGGGGTCTTGGCTTTGGTGACTGTTTGGGGCGGGCGGGTTTTTTGGGGGGGGTCGTTTTTGGGTGGCATGGCATTTCCGCGGGTGGCATTTCCGCCTTTCTGATCAATCACAGATGAGCCCTGGCCAGGTAAGTATCCGGTCTTCTTCTTCTTGACCCTTCACGGCAGTTACGCATACATGGGCAGAGTGAGAGCAATGAAGCCATGTCTGATGGAGGATGCGTATTGGAGTCTTTGTCTCGTCCCGAGGCCAAGTCCCAGTTGCCAGTAGCAGCCTTGAGTTTACTCAACACCTGAATGTGGACGTGTTTGGGGAGATGTGCCGTTGAGGCCTGGCCTGGCTGCACACCAGCAAAATGTTAAAAAGGAAAAGAAAAGAACATCTGTATCTTTCTGCGTCTGCGGTGAAGATACAATATCCGTCCATTTTATGTTACTCTTTTAGGAGAGTTTACATTTGCAGGCGAGGCCTTTTGTATGCCGGCGGGGAAATACTAATTCTGGATACTTTCTTTTTTTTTTTTTTTTTTTTTTTTTTTTTTTTTTTTTTTTTAAACCACATTCATTATATTCAGAACAAAACATGCTGTCATGAGGCCGGGGACCTCACAATTCAACCCGGAGTTATCCCGGCAGCATCAGCCGGTTTAGCTTCTGAAAGTATACCAGAACCACTTGACCACATCTGTATTTGTCTGAAACTTGTCTGAAAATCTATTGCTACTACTATTACCTTACCACCTCTACCAGTCTCCCACAGCTGACCCATTCACACCAGCTACCCTCAAACACCCCACACCCCCTAACTAAAACCTCTACCCCTATAATCCCCTACCACCCTCCCCTATTGCACCCTCAACCCTGAACCATCCTCACCCTGGAACTGGGCAAACCTTCCCCAAGGCTACACCCCCCGAGTCTAACACGACTCAGTTTCTACTCTGTCTCCTCTATGCTTCCCGATTGCTGGTAGCAGCGGTCCTCCTGCGGGCCTACATCAGGACCGAGGAGCCAGGTCCTCCTCACTCTGTCTCCCCTTCTTTCCCCTCTCTCAGCTACCTACCTGTGCTCGCTCAACCACACTCTAATCCCCTTTTTTCCCTTACTCTCTTCCTCTCTTCTTCACTAATTAAGCCGCCAACCAGGGGGAAATCACCAACTTCCCTTCCAATGTAACTGCTGCCATTACATTACCTCTGGCCCATGTAAAAAGGAACCAGGTTCGACCTGCAGGTGAACGACCACAATCTGCTTTGCAAATCCAATCCGCCCAGATCATGGTTCTGATCGTGGCTTTGATTTTGGCCTTTACGGTCTCGTCTGCCGTCCACTCTCCATTAAAGAGTATCCTGTTCCTGTCGTCCCATATGACCCACATGACGGCTGACCCGATGGCCTGGGCCACATACCCCCACCCTCTTTTACTGAAAAAGAGAGGTGGCAATTGTCCCGTACATACCCAGGCCTGATCCCACTGGAGAGCAGGCCCCATCCTCTGCCAATGTGTAGCCCACCAGTGCCATACTCGTTTTGACGCTGGGCAATCCCAAATTAGGTGAAGAAGAGTCTCTTCTCGTCTGTTTCCGCAACGCACGCAGAGAGGGCTAACCTCCATCCCTTTATCTGATAACCACTTCCCTGTTGGGATGGCCATATGTGTCAACAGCCATAGAAAACTCGAGCTGAGACCATAGAGACTTCAACTTTGGAACACTGAGTGGTACAGCGAGATTCAGCAATTGAGTTGTCCGGTTGCAGACCTCAGGTCCCAGCTCTGCGATTTTTGAAACCTGCTGGATGCTTTTCCCTAACTTAGAGTTATATGTTGCCAAAGATCTATTTGTCCCCGGTTGAAGCTCCCACACACAGCAGTTCGGATCCAATCTCAGATCTGGGATTGCTTTCCCGCCCTGGATTGTTGTCTACCCTTTTCTCCCGTTGGCCTCTGCTTTCCACACCACTCGAATCGCCGTAAGTTGTGTCTCTGCGCCCAGTGTATCCTCCTTTATAAGACGAAGCTTCTGATCTGAGCCCTGAGCTGGTTCTGTTGCCCAAACTGTTACTTCCCACCCCCCTGATTCTCTCTCTTCCTCCACCTTACAGATTTTGTCCGGTTGGTTTCCTGATTGGGGTTGCTTGTACCAGCTACCCACTCTCGGAGCCGGGGGCTCTTCTATCCACTGCCTCCACTCTGCTGGAATTGCTTCGATTAGCTCCTCCTGCTTCTTCTTGACCTCCTGTAGTTTACCCAGTGACCGTCGGATTTCTGATTCGGATTTCCATCTACTCTCCTCTTCTATCCAAAGGTCCTTTACTCTCGAAACTCCACTTTCCATCCACTTTCTTCCAAAGTTACCAGCTTGGGATGCTGCTGAGAAGACCGCACCGTCTGAGCGGGAAATGGCAGGGTTATCAAATAATAACTGATTAAGCACTTCCTCCCTCCCCGTAGGGGGGGGGCTGGACTGAGCCCTAAGCTTCTTCCAAGCAATCCACCAGGCCAAACCAATTGCGGACTTAGGCCTGCGGTTCAGATAGGAAGGCACATGGAGGCAATTCCAGACATCTTCTTTCCTTTTCAACTTAAACTCCTGCTGTAAAATGTACTCCGCTATCACCAGCCAACTCCGTTCTTCTGTTTGTATGCTGGCCTTTTGAATCCATTTTCCCAATAGTGCCACGTTCTGCTTTTCTGGGTCTACAATTCCTAGACCTCCCTCCCGCCTCGGCATCGTGACTTTCTCCCAAGCCACTTTGGAGACGAAGCCCTCCTGATCTTCTGCTTCAGGTTTCCATAAATAGCGAGCGGACATTCTTCTAAATTTGTTCAGAGTGCATCTTGAGATTAGAATGACCGCTGCTATATGCCATATCAGCGCAAACACAGATCCCGAGATAACTGTAGCTCTGCCCAACAGTGACAACCCCTTAACTGCTTTGCATCGCCTAATTCTCGCTTCCACCTTCGCTGCTAAGATGGCATCTTGGTTTGGACGGCTGTTAAAAAGTGAGACCTGTACCCCCAGGTATCTCTCCGAGTCTCGTTCTTGGATCCTCTTCATGGTCCAATCATCCAGCAGCTCATATTCCTGTGGCAAGAAGTAGACTGACTTATCCCAGTTCACCTTAGCTTCTGATAGGGAGGAGTACTGATCCAAAATTTCCTTTGCTGCTTCCATTCCCTCTGGCGTAGCTTCAGTTATCAGTAGGAGGTCGTTTGCGATTGCTCCAGTCAGCACCTCTTTTGTCCCTCCAAGCTGCAGTCCTCTTATCCGCGGAGATGCTCGCAGCGCATTCAGAGTCACCTCTATTTGAAGGACAAAAAGCAGTGGGGCTAGCGGACACCCCTGACGTAGTGACCTGGAGAGCTCAAACACCCTCGATCTTTTGTCGTTGACCAGAACCGAAGCTGTGGAACACTTGTACATTGCTGCCACCCAGTTGCTGAAGGATGCCCCAAAGTTCAGGTGTTGTAGAGTGGCTAGCACGAACGACCAATTGACCCGGTCGTAAGCTTTCTCCAAATCTAGCATTGCTACAACCACTTGCCTCTTTTCCTTATCAATGATTTCCAGGGCCCCTATCGCAACTAAGTTTTTTCAGCAATTGACCTTCCCTTCACAAACGCACCTTGGTCTGCATTGATCAACTCCGGAAGGACCAAGGACAATCTTCTTGCCAAATTCTTGGCAAGAATCTTGTACGAAACGTTTAGGAGGGAGATAGGTCTCCAA